CAGAAAAGCAACAGTGGTGGATATTTCAAAGAGGACAATAATTCATCATCAGAAGGGCTTATTAGCAGTTTAACATTAATTATGTTTACAGTCATTTTTTTTTTTTTACATAAAGTAAGGGAGGCCAAGGAGAAGATCCAAGTAAGATGAAACAACACATCTGTGAGATTGGGGGAAAATGCCAAGCACACAACAGAAAAATACAGGTACATTCAGTTTGGGATTCCCACTTCTTCCTTTCTTTCTGTATTATAAACAACATTTGCTAATAGCATTCTCAGTGGTAATTTTTAAAAAAGTAATGAAAAAGAGTGAGGCATGTAAAATCCCTGGGGAGATGATGATGATGATGTCGTCTTAGGTTTACAACCTGACTTTTCTCCAGGTGTTATTCGGTGCACTCCCTTCTCTGTTTTTTCCTCATAACAATAACCTTGTGAGGTAGGTTGCTGACAGAAGTGGCTGAGAGAGAGCAACTGGCCCAAAGTCCTCCAGTGATCCTCTATGGCTGAGGATGGACCTAAACTCAAGTGAGGCAAATATTGTCCCCATCTTGAAAAGAAGGACACAGGGACAATCCTGCAAACTATAGACCTAATTTACAATTTGTAAATCATATGCGAGTCATCTATGTTGGAAACTTTCTGACTGGCTAGGGCAGGAGAATATCTTAGAAAACTAACAAGTAGTTTTAAGAATGGAATCCACAATGGATAACTACCCCTGCTTGTGGTGGCATCTTAAAGTGAGGGTCAAAAAGTCAAGGTGGCGGCCACAACTATTTCTGCATGTAAAAAAGGGGCAGGGCTTTGATCAAACAGTCACAGCCACCATCCTGACATTTTTTTAATCCTCCCATGTGGATGAATGCCTAGCAGGCAATTATACTTACAGCACAATCTGTAACTATATGTAGTTTCAGAACAGCTTTCAGTTCATCCTGAGATCCCATTTATTTATTTATTAAATTTATATAGCCGCCCATCTCACAAACAGTTACTTTGGGTGGTGTACAAAGTAGGCTAAAAAGGCTAAAAACAATTAAACAATAAATACCAAATAATAATTATTATTAATAATATTTTAAAAACATTAAAAATTGTAAAAACAAGCTAAAAGAGAAGAAATATTAGGCAAAGAGATGTTAATAATAGTATAGCCACCTCAATAATTCACCAGCCCTGGAGTCCCCAGGCCTGATGGCACATTCAGGTTTTGAGGAACCTACAAAAGGATGGAAGTGATGAAGCCAGCCTCACATCAGTGGGGAGGATATTCCACAATGTGGGTGCCACAGCAGAAAAGACCTGCCGCCAAATGCAGCTCCCAAGCTGACAGGACCTGCAGCATGCCCCCTCTGCTGGATCTAGTGGGATGGGCAGATGTAACTGGGGAGAGGTGGCCCCTCAAATAACCCAGTCCCGTGCCATGTAGAGCTTTAAAGCAGCACCTTGAACTGGACCCAGACACAGACTGGTAACCAATGCAGCTTGCGGAGCAGAGGTGTAATTTGTGTTCTACTAGAAACACACATAACTGCCTGCATCACTGCATTCTGCACCAGCTGAAGCTTCCAGATACTCTTCAAGGGCAGCCCCATGTAGAACAAATTAGAGTAGTCCAACCTGGAGGTGGCTAGGGCATGAGTGACCATGAGTAGAACCCCTCGATCTAGGAATGGGCACAACCGGCACATAACACAGAGTTGTGCAAAAGCCCTCTAGCTATGACTGCCACCTGCTCTTTGAGCAGGAGTCATGAGTCCAGAAGGACCCCCAGATTGTGTACCAGGTCTGTCTGGGGCAGTGCTATCCCATCCAGCACCAAAGATGGCATAGTCCTAGAACCAGCAGGCCCCAAAACTCAGAGCCACTCCATCTTACCAGGGTTCAGTTGAAGACTGTTGTTCCCCATCCAGACCCTCACAGCCTCCAGACTCCGGGATAAGACATTGACAGCATCATTTAGTTCACCAGCGGCAGAGATGAATAATTGGGTATCACCATACTGATGATACTCATCCCATGGCGATGGATGAGCTCACCCAGCGGCCTCATGTAGATGTTACATAGAAGGGGAGAGAGCATGGATCCCTGCAGCACCCAACACAGTAGGAGCCAAGGGCGGGATCTCTCCTCCCCAATCACCACCGACTGGAATTGACCCTGGAGAAAGGAGGTGAACCAGCACAACACCCTGCTGCCTACCCCTAATCCTTGGAGTCAATCCAGAAGGATACCATGGTTGATGGTATTGAAAGTTGCTGGGAGATCAAGTAGGGCAAGGATGGATGCATAACCTCCATCCTGCCCACGCCAGAGATCATCCAAAAGCGTGACCAATGCCATTTCCATCCCATACCCTGGTCTGAATCCTGACTGAAAAAGATCCAGATAATCCGCTTCATCCAAGGTCCTCTGAAACTGCTATGCAAACACCTTCTCAATCACCTTCCCCAAAATGGGAGGTTACGTACTGTCCAGTATGATAGGGTCCAGCAATGGCTTCTTAAGAAGGGAGCAAACCAAGGCCTCCTTAAGAGGTAAAGGAACAACCCCCTCACTCAAAGAAGAGTGTTTATGGAACAAGCTCCAAAACTCAACTACTGAGAAACATTTGTTATTGTTAATATACACATTATCTTTTTAAGCCTCCTATCTTTTTAATATCGACATAAGCTCCCTTTCCAGTGAGAATTATTTTAAAAAATATTGTAGACCTCTTCACACTAGACACATCTGCCAGGAAATTCTTGTGGATTACACAGAAGCCAATACTTTGATTAGCAGCAATCTTCATAAACCAATGGTTAGACAGGTTGTAGGCTAAATTGGAGAAAACATCCCAGAAGAAGGCAACTGCAAATCACACTTATTTTTGCCAAGAAAACTATAAGAAGACTTTTTTTTACCTGCATTCTACTAGTCCTGTGGTTACTTCCTTTCATACTCTCAGTTGTAAAGTCAGCAGCAATTTCTTCACAGAAATTTAAAGGCCAGGCATACACTCTAGTGTGGGGTTTGGGGCTAATGACAGTATAAGGCAAATAAGCAGTTTGAAAGCAAACTTGGAAGACTGGGATCAGGATGAGGGAATTAGGTATGGAAATAGAAATATTTGATGAGATTAGAGATTGTGTGCTTCGCTGCAGAGTGACACATTCAGAGGTATCAGGAAAAGTGTAAGCATGGCATTACTATATGTGTCTGCAAACCCTCTGTGGCTGGTCAGACAGGGGAAGAAAGAAAAAACTCAAATGGAAGTACAGTAGAAGTAACTAAGCAAAGCTTACAGATTTGTTTAGCTACTGCAGTGTTCCAAAATTGTCTCCTGCTTTTAAGACCTGATACAAAGGGTTGGCAATAATGAAGATTCTAGGGATAGTATTACTGAACATTTGTCTAGGCTTCAAGACCATTAGGAGGGTCTCTGCCCTCATTTTTCACAATTCTCAGACTAATCAAAATGATCAGGTACAGACTAATAGAATTCTCAGTTCTTTCTCCAAGTAAGGGTTCACTAGGAATTCTCCAAAATCATAACAATTCTAACTGTAAGAAAATAGTTTCCCCACTTTTTTACTTGTATCATGTGTGTCTAATTATCTCATTGATGTAGAAAGAAAGAGAGAGAGAAATAGAGAAATACGTAAATTAGAATGCTGTAAAAACTCCTATTTTGGTGTGCAAGCCCTTATCCAATTTCTCTCAGGACATCTAAAGCACATGAGGATAAGGAACACATTTGTTCCCTTGCCTTTCTGAAGCAGCTACAACTATTACCTGCATGTCATCCCCAAGCAACATTTCAGCATCTGCAGGAGTGTTCAATGAGTATTTCACAATAGTTAATTCTCAATGACACAAATCAAAACAAATTTCAGATTTCATACACACAAGCTTTCTTGTGTTTTACAACTTACATAAACCATTCACAAAATATCTATATCCAACTCACATAGTTTCCTCCCAAAAGAACACAATATCAAATTGTGAATAAAGGTCCATTTCTACCTTGAAAGGCCTTGAAGACAACCACAATAGAACAAATCTGTGTTGTCAAATTGTATCTGGACAATCATATCTTTTTAACTTTCATGAGTTCCAACAAAGTATCCTAGAAATTTCATCCTGGTATTGAGAATTCTCTGTTTGAGGACCCTAAATTTCCACACTGAACTACAGTTCTCAGAATTCCCTGGAGAGAGGAACTAACTAACTGCTAAATTAATCCAGTTGCATAGTTGTGCCCTCGGAGGCCACCATGGCAACCATTCCTGTTGTTATAAAGGGAAAACCTTGGTACTGTAATACATAAAAGAGTAGTTTATCACAGAAGGATATTCCAATTTAGCACCTAGACCTACAAATATACGGAACAATTAAAGCATCAATGATGCTGTTTTTTTTTAAAGGTTTTTTTTTAACCCCACCTTTATTATTTTTATAAAGAACTCAAGGCGGCTAACATACCTAACACTCCTTCCTCCTCCTATTTTCCCTACAACAAAAACCCTGTGAGGTGAGTTGGGCTGAGAGAGAGGGACTGGCCCAAAGTCACCCAGCCAGCTTTCATGCCTAACAGGACTAGAACTCACTGTCTCCTGCTTTCTAGCCTGGTGCCTTAGCCACTAGACCAAACTGGCTCTCTTTTTGGTTTTAATTTTGGATGGTTATAATACTGCCACCACTCCAGGGCCATTAGTCTGCAGAATGGGTGCCACTCAGTCACACAGGCAATGAGTGTGGAACAGTTTGCCCACAAGCTGAGACGCTATATAGACGCTAGTCTATAGTCTATTTCTCCAGAGCCACACCACTGCCTGCACCAGCTCAGAAAACCCAGCAGATTGCAAAATCTCTCTACTCCATATTATCCATATAGCAAGAGCCTTTCTCAGTCTGCTGTACTCCAGCAGTGTTGGAACTACAATGGCCCAAATTTCCAACTATGTTTGGGGAAGGCTATCCTGCAGCATGCACCTCCTTCTCATACTTTCCCTAAAAGCGCATTGACCACATCAAGGATTGCTTTAAGGAGGAACTTACCTGGTCTGTTTCTGTGAATGTGCTCTGCTCATCATCTTCAATATCTGACTCTCCCACAGCAATAGGGACACAAATGGACAAGTTTGGGTTGGTCATAAAGTCACTGTTGTGGTCATCAGCTACCTGCTGCTCCACTTTGTTTGTTTCAGCTCTGTCATTGCTGGTGTGGTTCTCCTTCTGGTTCTGCTCTTCTTTGACAAACTCAGTAGCCGTGTGGTTGTTGATACAGTTGTGGACAATAGGTGGGTTCTGGGCCACCAGCTTCATTATAGCTTTCTTTTCAGCAGTTGCCTTTGGCTGTCGAAGGACACTGCAGCAGAAATCCCACATTGTACGCTTGATATAGTTAAGCCCCCTGTTGATACGTGCAAAGGCAAGCTGCAGATTGTTCATCTCCCCATCCTCATCTGGTGCAGAAAGATTGTCAGCACTAAACGAGCTCAACAATAAGGCAAGAAACAGGTTCAGCACCTGAAATGCAATACAATATTAAAAAGTATTATTTGAATGTTCTCCTCCATTCTGTTGTTATGTTTGGGTGAATACAGTGGAT